AAAGGGTGGTTATAAGATGGTGGTCATGAGAGGATTTCTTTCTCCCTTGTGGGCGGGGTTGGGCAATCCCACACCTGTCCACAGCCCCGGAAAGCACAGGTGGGTAAGCTGTACCCTCGGTGCTGCGTGTGGGGCATGCGCCATCCATCTCCTGCTCCCCTCGCCACTGCAGATATCTTTTCGGATATGGGTTTTCAAGTCTTTGGGGTAAATACCCAGTAGAGGGATTGCTGGATCATATGGTAGATCAGTTTTTAGTTTTTTGAGGACCCTCCATACTGTTTTCCATAGCAGCTGTACCAATTTGCAGTCCCATCCGCAGTGTATGAGGGTTCCTATTTCTCCGCATCCTCTCCAACATTTGTTATTACTTGACCTGTTGATTATAGCCATTCTAACAGGTGTGAGATGGTATCTCATTATGGTTAAAAGCAGTCCTCTTTGGACAAGATTTGCAAAAGCAGTGGTGGCATAATTTCTCCTTGCTGCCTACACACACACACACACACACACACACACAAGCTATGAGAAGCAGAACCCAGCCCCAGTGATGGTGCATGAAGTCACAAAGCTTCTCTGGTTATTTTTCTCGTATTAGAAATGACCTTTAGATATATACTGTCACTTTATTTGCCATTAGCTCCTAGTTGCCATCCTCTTGATCATTCTCGGTCCTTTCTTCCTAGTTTGTCCTTTCGCCCAATGAGATTGAGTGCGTGTTTGCATAGTGAGGCTGTTTAATACCCACATGCCCTCTCCAGAGTCAGGTGAGCCACTATTTGAGTGATAACACAGTTTAGGAACCTGTGTCTCTCTTTACCTGTCCAGAAGAACAAGCATTTCCCTTCCATCCAGGATCCTCTCTGTGTCAGTTATGTGCTGGAGCCTCACTTGGTCTTGCTCACGAGGCTGCGGTGAGCTGCCATTTTGACTGAGTCCATATTGAATATTAAGTGTCACGTATTTGGGGCTCTCAGCCGGGATGGCTGGAGTGGCCAGGACGCCTGAGCCTTTCTCTGTACCTGGTCTTTTATCCCAGGCTTCTTCACAGTGTGATGATCCTAGGATTCCAGTAGAGTAGCAATGGAAGCTTCCAGATGTCATGGGGCCAGATTGGATAGTTCTGCAGCATTCCAGATGTCACGGGGCCAGATTGGATAGTTCTACAAGGAGCTACAGCTACAGAGTCAGCCCAACTCAGGAGACAGGGAGGCACACCCCACCGCTTCATAGAAGGAGCTACAAACAATGGGTCACAGTATTTAATCTACCACCCTCCCTTACTCGCCATCTTCTTCAGCTGAAAATAATTAGCATATCTTCTCATTATCTGAATACGGACTTATCTAAAATCCCCTGGAGCCCTGCTTTTATATTTTTCATGGTTCTGAATCCAAAGGTTGCTTAGCAACAATAATTCTTTAACTTTGTAAGTTTTTAAACAAGTGCAGCTCCCCCCTGCCCCCCCACTTTTTTTTTTAGCATAAGTATGGCCCATGCAGTATTTGGGACATACTTATACCCAAACAAAACCGAAAACCGTCTCCTCAGTCGAGTCTCCCCAGGAGCACGAGTGATGCTGCCTGGGAGGATGTAACTCGGAGGCCGCAGACTTTCTCTTCCCTCGCCACTCTTTTTTCCACAGCCTTAAATAATAGCGCCTCTAAAACCCCCGTGGCCCAAGCTTGCGGGGTCTGGAGTTTCTACCGCCACCTGTAGGCCGGCACACGCATCGTTTGCCTGGCACGAAATCGGGTTGGCACGTTAGTCTCTTAGTGCTTTGACCAAAGCCAGACATTCCAGTACTAAAGTGCTTTCTCTTCAACCCTCAGTGTCTTTTTTTCCTTTGCAAAGGGTGAGTCACATGATACGGCGCTGTCTGTCACGAAATGTATTAATTTCTGGGAGGGAGGGTACTTATTTTTCCAGGTTTTTGTTGTTATTGTTGTTGTTGTTGTTGTTAGATTTTATAAATCAGTGGGTTTAGTATTTATGCTAATGAGAGAAAAACCTCAGATTCCTGCTATCACCCCAACTCCATGCACAGGCAAACAGACGCCGTGGTCACAGGTGGCATCCTATACTCTCTGGGCCTGGCCGGCATCTCTGATCGGCCAGGAGATACCTGAGTGAGACTGTGGAGATAGCGACGCACAATCCAGCTCTTCCATTTAAAAATAAAGTCTTATTATTCTCTACAGTCCAAGGGTCATTGCCTTTTCGATGAATAGCAATTCTTAAACTTTTAGTGACAGAGTCAGATAATGGAAACTGAATCGCAGTTGATTTTTATTGCAATTAGTATTTATCAAGCTGACAGGCATTGTCAATTTCATGCTTAACTTCAATCTCATTATTTCTATTTACTCAAGGATATGGATGTAAAAATCTTCTGACATAATCGGCCTAATTCACCAGGTTCCTTAAGAGCTCGGTACTTCAGCTCAACCGTTTTTATTGTTGTTTGTTTTAATATCTTTAGTTGCTGGCGACAATTTGTATTAACCTGTGTGTTTTGGGATTGAAACTATCTATGCAGAACTGTTTGTCTCTTTTAAATTATAGAAACTGCTTTAAATTACAATGTTCTTGAAGTCAGGGACAAGTATATGGAAAACGTGACCCTTTTCTACTCTGTAATTATTTTCTTAATGCGATCTCCACTCAGAAAAATAGTCTCTCGTAATTTAATAATGATGATGACTGGAATTCCCTTGGTCTGACAAGGAAGA